ACTACTACGACGACTACTACTTTTACTAGTACTAGTACTAGTACTAGTACTAGTACTAGTACTACTACTACTACTACTACTACTACTACTACTACTACTACTACTACCCCTACTACTACGACTACTACTGCTACGACTAGGACTACGACTACTACTACGACGACTACTACTACTACTACTACTACTACTATAGTATTTTATGTATACTGAATCAACCTCTACTACTACTACCACTACTAACACTACTACTAGTACGACTACTACGACTACGACTACTACGACTCCTACGGGTATTACGATTACTACGACTCCTACGACGACGACTACTACTACTACTGCTGCTACTACTACTACTACTACTCCTACTCCTACTCCTGATCCTACTCCTACTCCTACTCCTACTCCTGCTGCTGCTACTACTACTACTACTACTACTACTACTACTACGACTACGACTACTACTACTACTACTACTACTACTACTACTACTACTACTACTACTACTACTACTACGACTGCTACTACTAGTACCACCACTACAACAACTACTACTACCACCACTCCCCACGGAGCTGCTCATCTGACCGATATGGGGCCTGCTGCGATCTCCATAGGGGTTCCATAATACCTACGGGGCTCGATGGGGTTCCAAAGGACTGACTGGGATCTCTATAGTGGTCGCATAGTAGCTACTGGTACTACTGAAGATTCGGTGGGGCTCCCTGTGGGGCCAGAGCCAGGATCCTCTCTGTGGGGCCAATGCCACGATCCTCGAGAGAGGGGCGTGCCGAAATGACGCTTCCGTGAAGCTCCCGGTTGGGCCACGGCCACGATCCTCAAGAAGGGGTGTGCCGAAATGAAGCTTCGGTGGAGCTCCCTGTGGGGCCAGGGTCACGATCCTCGACAGGGGAATGCCGAAATGAAGCCTTGGTGCAGCTCCCTGTGGGGCCACGGCCACGATCCTCGAGAGGGGCGTCCCGAAATCCAGTTTCGGTGGAGCTCCCTTTGGGGCCAGGGCCACGATCCTCGAGAGGGGTAGGCCGACATGAAGTTTCGGTGGAATTCCCTGCGGGTCCTGGGCCGCGATCCTTGAAAGAGGTGTGCCGAAATCAAGTTTCGGTGGAGCTCCCTGTGGGGCCAGGGGCGCAATCCTCGAGAGGGGTGTGCCGACATGAAGCGTCGGTCGAGCTCCCTGTGGGGCCAGGGCGGCTATGATTTAGAGGGGTGTGCCGAAATGAACCTTAGGTGGCGCTCCCTGTGGGGCCAGGGCCACGAGCTTCGAGAGGGGTATGCCGAAATGAACCTTCAGTGGAACTCCCTGTGGGGCCAGGGCCACGATCCTCAACAAAGGGGTGTGCCGAAATGAAGTTTCGGTGGAGCTCCGTGTGGAGCCAGGGCCACGATCCTCGAGAGGGGTGTGCCGAAATGAGGCTTCGGTGGAGTTCCCTGTGGGGCCACTGAGTTCGGGGGCCTCGCACCTAGTTGCATCAGGGAAAGTATACAACAACAGCGGTTCGCGCCTGATATTTCCTCACCAGTTATTCCAAATTCGCGCTTCCGCGCAGGACGTCCCCACAACTTTTTGCGGACGGCAAAATTTAAGAACCACCGTCGTAACGCGAATGCAGGCTGCACTTGAAAGCCGTTTTCTTCCTCACCAAAAGGGCGGAAGCGGACGCAGGAAACGACAAGACGTATCACCCCCGCGCCAGAGAGCCGGCAGCAGTGCAGAGATGATGGCAAAAACCTGCAATAGCCCCAGAGTCGGGCAGGAGAGGGGAGGAGGGAGGAGGAGGCGAGGAAAGGAGGAGAGCACTGAGCATGGCCCTGTGAATCATCGCCAGTCGGCTCCTGTGAGTCTGGGCGCCCAGCTGACCAGAATAAGGCGTGCTCGCAAGGTGTCGCGCGCTCGTTGGCGACTCAGTACAACGCGCACGGAAATAAGGCGCTGGGCAGCGACCAAAAGCAAATGCGAGGCCATGGCACGACCATCGGCGCGCAGGGGACTGCGGGAGCAGCGAGTAGCTAGGTAATGGTACTGTGTAACAACACACACACATGCAACATGCACAGGAGGAGGAGGAGGAGGAGGAGGAGGAGGAGGAGGAGGAGGAGGAGGGGATGATGCGGGGAAAACGAGGCGAGGAGGGGAGAAGAGGATTCCAACAAAAACGCGCTATGTGATGAGCATGGATGTCCACCACAAGGCCGGCCCGAAACCTACCAGGTAGGGGCGGAACTCGACAGAGCGGGAACACCCGTGGGTAGGCAGCCAGGGCGGAGAAGGATAACGGAGGCAGAGGCATGGAAAACCAAGGGAGGCGAGCAGCTCCGGCTGCCTACAGAGTGCCGCGCCCGCCCCTGGCATGCAGGAAACCAGGACTACTACGTCAGATCTGGATCATGGAGAAGTGAACAGGCGGACGACGTCCGCGGTCACCGCGACGCGCAGCGGTGCCGAGAAGAATCGCGCTCTCGCGTAGGCCTTCTTCGCAAAGTATTCAGGCGCCGCGCCCTCGACACCCTGGAATCACGGTTTCGCTATGGATTTCCACGCGATTTATTTGGGAATCGCGCTATCGCGCGAGACCTCTTCGCGACTCATGCAGGACGCACGCTTCAGCAACCCGCCTGCTCAACCTGGCCGCCTGGGCCCGCCTTCCCGAACCGACCGTTAAAGTCTACCTGCCCGATTTGCCCGTGTAGTTCTGACATGTTGTGCGTTTCTGCTCTTAGCCCCCTCTTCTGCTACTTTCTCTCGTGCTCCAACCTCCTCTCTTGCCCGTGTCCCTTCCTTCCATCCGTCCTCTCTTCCCCTGCCTTCGGGGCCGCACGAAATCCACTTTCACGGTAAGAAAGATCTACCCCAAAGGGGGTACGATCGAAGACGAAAAGTGCGGGTACCGAGGGTTAGGGATATGCCACTTGCTTTCTGCCACTTATGTTCTTGCTTTCTACTCTTAGCGCCCCTTCTGCTACCCTCTGTCGTGCTCAATCCTCCTCCCTCCTCATTGTCCCTTCCTTCCATATGTCCTGTTTCCCTGCCTCAGGGGCTGCACGAAATACAGGTTGCAGGTAAGAAGCATGTACCACCAATGGAGGTTACGTTCGAAAACAAAGAAAACGAGTATTGATGGTTTGGGATATATAAGAGCGAACAAGTTTAAACTGATTGCTGTTGTTGTTGGTGCTGCTGTTGCTGTTGTTGCAAATCTTCTATATCTATTTGGTGAGAGAGGCAGCGGGGTCGGTGGCCAGCTCCAGAATCGGAGACTTGATGGTCTCCCGCATGGTCGGCCCCCCGATGGTCCGCCGAATGGTCCCCCGTATGGTCTCCCGTATTGTCTGCCGTACGGTCCCACGGCTACGCTAGACAATAACATAGTCGCTCTACTCTGTAATTTGTTGGCCGTGCAGGCCTCAGGAAATGCTCCCTCCGTCGAAGGAATGGTCTGAGGGGACCAGCTCAGGGGTGACAACGTTGACCTGGGATCGGCGATGGATTGCTGACAGGCCCCGATAGCAAGTCCGCGTGCTCCTGGGCGGGTTGGGCTATCGAGCCCCTCTCGGTGCATTCCCCATCTGTCCCCCCTCAACGTTGCCCCCGACCCGTGCAACTGTGCGCCTGCAACTGGGGCGGACAGTACGGGTACGATAACCACCAGCAGTACTCGCTCATCTGGAGCAAGATTTGAGATCCTTCGGGACCCTTCTTACAACAAATCTTGCCATTTCGATAGCAATCCTTGCCCGCTGGACAATACTTGCTGCCCAGGTCCCACATGACCAGGCAATGCAGGGGGCGACTCCGAGGGGTGTGGTTTGCAACCTGCGGGGCGGGCCAAGGACCTCGACAGAGTTCTCCGCCGCGACCCGAAGTGGCCCGACGAGGGCAACGTGGTCCCCCCGAAGTGGCCCAGATCGCAAGCCACGCCCCGGCGTAACAACAGCCTTCTAGTCGCCGGGCCCAAAGCCTCCCAGATGGGGTCCCTGCAAGTGGGCTCGGACGATCGCGCCGCATGGCCAATGCATCGCCGATGCATCGGCGATGCGTCGTCGACGTCGGCGATGCATAAGCGCCATCGGCGTGGAGAGGTTCTAGCTCCACATCGAGCCCCATCAGCGACGCATCGGCGGTACATCGGCGATGCGACGCGATCCACTCCGACCCCCTCCGGGAGGCCTACAGCATCGTTCGGGGGCGTCCAAAGAGGTGGGCGTCTCAGAACGGGGGCGCAAATCGTGGCCGACGCCATGTGCGCGGCCCAGGGGGGGGGCCGGGGACGCAGGAAGACAAGCAGTGGCGCGACGAACAGTCTGGGGAGATATCATGGCCCCCACCATGCTGTCCCCCCCCCGCTGAAGCGTCACCCCCCTCTTGGCCGCCACCGACGCACTGCACGGCACCCCGCCCGGGGCGCGCAGGAATGCGGGAGCCGCCATGAGGTCCCCCCCCACCATGTCCCCCCCTGCCATGATGCCCCCCCCCGCCATGCTGTCCGCCCGGGGCGCGCAGGAATGCGGGAGCCGCCATGAGGTCCCCCCCCGCCATGTCCCCCCCTGCCATGATGCCCCCCCCCGCCATGCTGTCCCCCCCCCCCGGGGGGGATCTCATGGCCCCCGCCACGCTGTCCCCCCCCCGCTGGAGCGTCACCCCCCCCTTGGCCGCCACCGGCACACTGCACGGCACCCCGCCTGGGGCGCTGCAGAAAGCAGGAGAGCCCAGAATCGAATCGACAAATCGGATCGGCGACCGAAATGAATCGGATCGGTGGCAATCGGCAGCCGAATCGGGAAAAGTCGAATCGGCAGAAATCGGCAGCGTAGTACGCCTCCATCAAGAAATCGGAGCCAAAATCGGATTCCGAAATCGAATCGAATCGGAATCGGAAATAATCGAAATCGCATCGAATCGAATCGGGGGAATCGAAACGAGCCAAAGCCGCCCCTCCCGAGGGTGAGCGCCGGGCGGGCGGCGCCGGCGCCCCGGCGGAGGCGGCCTGGAGCTGTTCCCGGCCGCGGGCACGGGCGTCGGCCGCGGCGCCTCTGCGCGCGGGCCGCCGCGGCCGCCGCCGCCGCCGGCGTGTCCACAGGTTTCCAGAGAGCTCTTCGCGCGTTTTCGTCGGGTCCTCGAAAGCTGCACGAGATCATCGTCGTCGTCGTCGTCGCCGGCGTGTCCACAGGTTTCCAGAGAGCTCTTCGCGCGTTTTCGGGGGGTCCTCGAAAGCTGCACGAGATCATCGGGGGCCGTCTTTCCAGAGAGCTCTTCGCGCGTTTTCGGGGGGTCCTCGAAAGCTGCACGAGATCATCGTCGTCGTCGTTGTTGTCGCCGTCGAGGTCACGGTCGTCCTGGTCGCCGTCGCCCTCGTCGACGAGGATCAAGGTCTTCGACGGCTTCTGCAAGTCTGGGGACCCAAAGGGGGCTTCAGTTCAGGAAGATCAAGGGGTGGAGAGGCTGGCCGAAGGCCGACGCACGTCGCTGTCCCAACGCACTGTTGGCAAATTGGTGCGGTCGCAGGATATCATGCTGCAGTATCGCAATACTGCGCCGCTGGAGGCTACAAGCGAAGTGTTGTATGGTGTTGCCGCGGTGATCAGAATCGCACAGTGGTACACGCAGGCCTTGAGGTCTTACCCGCCAGTTGCTCGCAAGGCAAATGAGCCCGAGGCATCAAGTGCGCGCGTGGGCGTGCGTGCATGAGAGCGTTCAGACAGCCATGGTGCGCGCATGCCTCTACTGTGCCACAGTTGCACACGCGCGGCCGTACTCGGTTCAGTGTTCAACATGTTCATTTGAACAAATTTCATCAGCTTTGCACAACAAGGATGGAGGAGGAGGGGGGAGGACGACGAGGACGCGAGACAATAAGCAAGCCGAAGAAACCCAATACCGCCCTGAGCAAATCTGACAGACAAGTGAATTAGGAGGGCAGCCTGAGCTCCTCATCTTGGGCGGGGGCGCCCCCTCTCTCCTTGCCCGCCCTCACGGGCGGAGAGACGGGCGGCCTCGAGCTCCCAGGACGGGAGGGTGCCCGTAGTGACGCCAGACCTGGCCAAGAGCCTGCCGATGATCCAGCTGGACGATCACAGTGGTCTTGGGCGAGAAACTGCTTGCGCGGTCGACGCGCTGAACGGCGCGCGGGTGAAAGACGACAGCGAACAGCGAGCGCCCATCCCAACCTCGGCCAACGCCACGGCCAAGTGGGCGACATCGATGCTCGCACCTGGGAACAGGCGCAGCAAATTACTTGCGCAGGTGCGAGGGAAAAAGGGCGCGACCTTGGCGGCGGCAGGGAACGCGGCGCTGGCACTTGGCACCAGGCCAGGACCAGGGCCGCCAGGGCAAAGGAGATCCAAGGGCCCAGCCGACGCCAGAAGGGGCCCCGAGCCAGGGCGACCGCAGAACGATCGTTTCGTTGCGGGGCCGCAGCAGCACGGCTGGAGCAGCGCACTCCTACGTTCGCGATCACGCCCGGCCCAGGACCGCCTAAAAGCCGCGGCGCCATCGACTACATCGAGGCGCCGCGCCTCCGACCCTCGGCCACCGCGCGCAGAATGCGCGGCCTCTCCCGCGCACCTCTGCTCAGGGCGCGCTTGCCGTCTTGGGAGGTGAAGGGGCTTCTCTCTTTGGGGCCTTCGGGGCGGTCGCTGGCTTGGGCGGCACCTGCGGTGCCGTTGGCTGCCCTGCCGGGCGCTCGGCTTCCAGGCGAGTCCTGACAATTACCAACTCCTTCGCGTGCTCGCCCCGAGCCGAAAGCCAGCGGTGATCCACGAGAAAAACAAGAAGGCAATTGAGCCCCACGCTCCGTCACCCGCGTCGGCAGGGCCTCCATCCCCGCCAGGAATTGCGCGGCCTCCAGATAGCCGCGGTCCCCTGCCAGCTGGTCATTGCCGCGGTCCCCCGTCAACTAACTGGTCGAGGAACGTGCGCTGGCAGGCTACCAGGGTCTCTACCCTGTTCGCGTCGCCGCTTTCGGACGCTCTCCACAGCTCCGCGCTGAGCGGTACAAAATGCGCGGGCATCTCGCGCCCCGCTGGGCGAGCGCCCAGCGGGCTCCGCTCGCGACAAGGTTGGAATATCACAATGGGAGTCCAGGCGGAAGCGTCTGACTTCCGGAGCCTGGGCCAAGCGGGCCAAGTTCGCCTTCGGCACCGCACGAGCTTTGGGCCCGCATTAACGATACTTGCTGCCAATCCCTGCGACGCGCGATCCCGCGCATCGAGGTTCGACGTCGAGGCGGCCCGCCCCATCGGCCGATAGCGAAGCCGATGACTGGGGCAGGTCTCTGAGCATGCCCAGCAGCGGGTGCGGCGCTGCCCGCCGCTGATGCGGTCGCTGGAGCTTCTCCCGCAGGCGCGGCAACGCCGACATTCCAAGGGGGTCTCTGGATAGCCAGCAGGGCGGGGCCTCTCGCCCTCGACGCCCGCCTCGCCACAGCCGAACGCTCCGACGGGCCCGGCCAGGCCAGGAGGTGCCGGGAGTGGCGGGGGCGCGAGAGGCGGAGGCAGCGGAGGCTGAGCGCCCCGAGACCACCCCCGGCCCCAGGGCGCCACCGGGGCCGACACTGACGTAGTCGCACGGCCCTGGGGCCGCTGAAAAACAGGCAGGAATTACGCGGGCATGGTTTGCAGATCGGCCTGGGGAATCCCCACGCGCGCCTCCTCGTCGGCGAACAGCTGCGGCGCCTCGACGCGCGGGCCTACGCGAGTCCGCAGGGCCCCCCCAGTGAAGGAGCCACCGCGTAGGCCGTCTGCCCAGCCATCATCTGACAGATGTCCAGCTGACCTCGGCACCGGTCCTCGGCGCTGCCTCGTCGAAGGCTGGCCGCAGGGGCGCCCGCTGCGCAGCGGGCGCGCGGGGCCCGCCGGCTTCGGGACGGCGCCCAGGCCTCGTCGATGTGGCGGGGGAGGCGTCGCGGCTGGCGGAGGCCCCTCAGGGGAAGAGGGGGGCCACGATCGTCGTCGGCGTCTTCCTCATCAACATTCACCACGTATCACCTTCTGAGTGGTAGGGATCTGTCCGACCCACGCTTGGCAGCGCTTCTTCCCCGTCTTCGGCGGCAGCCCCGTGGATCGCGGGGTAGCCATCGCGCAGGTTTTCTCTCACCGACGGGTGCAGCCAGTAGGCTCGGCCATGCGCGGTCCCGAACGGCACTACCCCCTCGGCGCCCGCGTCGGCCAGAGGGGACAGAGAGCTTGCAGCTCAATCTCCGCGACCTCCAGATCGGCTACCAGCACCGACGCAGTGGAGCTCAGCTCGCGGGCGGTCGCGCCGAGCCGGGGCAAGTCGACCTTCTGGCGCGGACCGACCAATTCCTGGAAGCCATCGGCTTCTGCGAGGCAGAGATCCTCGACCGAGCGAAACGCCGCAGGCAACGCCAGCAGGACACCCCCAGGCTGTGAGGCCAGAGGGACCGCGGCGTAGCCTACCTCGCCCTCGACCACGTGCCAACGGTCGTACCTGGTGGCCGACGGCGCCGCGGACGGGTGGAAATCGGGCCACGCTGGGCCCTCGGGGTAGCTGCTTTCCCCGACGCAGCGGGGGCAGCCGCCATACTTGACGGCGCGCACGGAAGGCCCCAAGAGCCGTCCGTGGGTTACGAGCCAGGGCTCGAGCGCGATGCTCAGCCTGCACTCCTGGGCCGTCAGCCAGGGCGCGCCGCGCGCCGCGACCGAGCCCCTCAGAGGCACTGATCGGTACGCGCGCGCGGGCGAGGGTTCGACGCCTCCGCCAGTGGGACGCTGGGGCCCCCAGACAGCAGCCCCCGCAGAGGCTGCAGACGGCAGCAACGCCAAGCCACGCCGCCGCCGAGGAGAGCAGCCGAGGAGCGACTCCGCTGCCCACGTTCACCGCCAGCCCGAGGCAGACGGCGGGGCAGGCCGAACCCGACCTGACGCGGGGGGCACCGCTCCCCGCCGCTGGGGTTGCCTTGGGCGGACCACGGAGCGCCCACAGCGGGGGGTCCGCGGTCCGCGGGTGACGGAAGGGGCTGGCCAACGAGGCGCTCGTAGAGCGCGGCCCGAAGACCCCGGTAGAGAACCTCGCCCGCTCCCTCAATGGCCACCTGGACGAACGCCAGCATAAAGCGCCCGCCAGGGGCCGCGGAGGGTTGCAAAACTGCAGAACAGCTGCACAGACCGCAGAGGCACAAGAGGCGAAGACAAGAAAAGAGAAAGGAGGCATACCCAGAGCACTCTGGGGAGGGCACCACAATCGATTGGAAGCACAGCCTTGACATGAAAGAGCACGAGCCTCGAGGGGAACGGCATCTCCTTTGGAGGCCTGGATTCGGGGTCAAGTCGAGCCCCGGACCCATCCACGGGTACGTTTGGGCTAGAATTTCGACGTGGAGGCCGTGGCGACCAGAGCCCGCGTGGAGATCTCCCCCAAAGGCGAAAGGCACTCGAAAACCTCATGCCTCGAAGGGAAAACCCTCGAAAGTCTTAATCCTCCCTCTCCCCTTCCTCTCCTCGCCGCCCGTCGCGTTGGCAGGAAGCCAATACTACATGGGTGCTGAGGGAAGCGGGTCCTGGACCCCTGGCCCTGGAGCATTCCCACGAAGGCCAGCTGCTCGTCCCGAGCCGTTCTTGGGCGGCCCTGGGGCCCGACCAGGGCCCCAAGAGGGCCACAGAACAGTGAAAACCTCAGTCAGGACACACTTCCTTCGGGACCCCTTTCCCGCATGGCGGTCTTTGTCTTTACGGTTGTTGCCGAGGACGGCCACTCAGCTTTCGTTACAAGACTCACGTCTCTGGCGGCCGTTTGGAACGATTCGGGCGGAACACTCTCGGCGAGGCGCAGCTGATGGAACGCATCCCGAGGCAGCAAAACTTCTAGGAACCGACGAACCTCTCCGAAAACTTGTTAGAAGGACTCCAAAGTGGGGTCCGAATAGATGGGGCAGGAGGGTCGCGCCACATCGCCAGTGCATCGGCAACGTCGTCGGTGCAATGCATCGGCGACGTCGGCGGTGCATCGGCGACGCCGGCGTCCAGAATCTGCCGACCCTGTCGGCGTGTGGAAGAGGCTGTTCTGTTTGACTCGTCGTCGTCGTCGTCGTCGTCGGCGTCGTCGTTGTGGTCGTCGTCGTCGTCGCCTTCGCCGCTCGCTTCCCTCCCTTCCCCGAGGCCCGTCGCCGGTACCCCACTGTCACCAGATTCCCCTCCTCGAGCGCGCCAGCCACAGCGAAATTGAACAACGTTGCAGTTGAGTCGAAGGGAAGCCCCTTCCCTTTGATCCCTTCCCCGCCCGGGGGGGGGTCCCGGGGGAGCGTTCTGGGGGGGTCCCGGGAGAGGGGTCCTGGGGGTCCCGGGGCAGATACGACTCCCCCCGGGCGGTTGGGCGGCCAAGAACAGCCGCAGGACGCGGCAAAACTGCCCCAAAATGTCCCCAAGACGAGCCTCGAGGGCCCCGAATCGCCGAGGTATCGGTCCAAGTCGCCAAAGTAGCCTCCTGCAGAAGGCTCAAAAAGTTTCCAAAACGCGCCAAGAGGTCTCCAAGAGGACTTCCAAGAGGGCCCCAAGGGAGAAAAAACATAGATGTCCCTTTAGCTGTTGAAAGATTTCAGCATTCTCGCCTTGTCATCGTCCCGGCGCTCCAAGACAATCCAAGAGGCCCCCAAGACCGCCCCAACATGGCCCAAGAGGCCTCCAAGGGAGCCCCAAAACGACCCAAGAAGGGGCCCTAAGACCGCCCAAGAGGCAAGACACCCCAGGAGGCCCCAAGACGGCTCCAAGAGGGAGCCCAGACGGGGGGCCCGAACTGACATTTCGAGCCTTCCGCCCGAGAAGCTCTCAGGGACCCCCCAGAGGCCCCTAAGAAACCCCCCAAGAGGCCCCAAGAGGCCCCCACGAGGCTCCCAATCGGCCCCCAAGAGCTTCCCAAGAGGCCCCCAAACTACCCCGGAAGAAGAGGTCCCCGAGAGCGCTCGTCGTCGTCGTCGTCGTCGTCGTCGTCGTCGTCGTCGTCGTCGTCGTCGTCGTCGTCGTCGTCGTCATTCAGGGTCGCCGACACCGGTCGTAAGGCCTTCGCAATATCGGGCTCCACATCGAGCCGCATCGTCGATGCATCGGCGCCATGCACTCCGACCCCCCCCCTGGGAGGCCCAGAGTGCAGCCGCGCACCCAGAAGGACCCGTTCCCCCCAGGGGCCCGCCTGCTCCACGGCGGCCGTCGGCGGAGCCTCCGCCTGCCCCCTCTCCTCCGCGGGGGCGGGCGGAGAATCCCACCAGCCCTCTGGGCTTAGGTGGTATCAGGTGTTTGTTTCTTCTCTCTACCCCTCGCGGCGGCGGAGGCGGCGGCGGATTGGCCCCCAGTAGCTACACATCCAAAGACGCCTGCTGAACATGCTGAGGCTCGGGCCAGACTCGGGTGCTACGTATGTGTTGGGATGGCGGGTGGGGGTGAGCGAGACGGCTTGCGAGCGGGGAGGGGGTCTTGACCCGTCCCCCTACCCCCTCCCCTGGGCCTGGGAGGGGGGGGGGACGGAGGCGCCGCAGCGTCCAAGATGGCCCAAGAAGGCTCCAAGAGGGCTTCAAAGTCGCAAGATGGCCTCCAAGATGGCCCATACTACTTCAAGATGGGTCAAGATAGCCTCCGACATACCCCCAAGAGGCCCCAAGACAGCCCCAAGACGGATACAAGTGCCCTCCGAGCCCTCCACGGCGCCCTCCAAGATGCCAAAACCCTTCAAAAGCCTAGGGAAAATCAATGTTGTTGGCAGTACCGCCTTTCGCTTCCGATGGGCTTTGGAAGCCTCAAGATGGCCCCAAGATGGCCCAAAAGAAGTCCAAGAGGGGCCCAAGAAGGCCGAAGACGGCCCCAAGATCGCCCAAGAGGCGCCCAAGAGCGCTCCAAGAGGGCCCCAAGATGCCGTTTGAGAGCCTCCGAGGGGGCGATGCTAATTGAGGGACCTCCTCTTTTTGAGCCATGGGGCCCAAGATGACCCCAAGAGGCCTCCCAGCCTCTCCCCAAAGACCCTCCACCCCGCCTGTTTGGCCCAATATGGCTCCAAGAGAGCCCTAGATAAGCAAATATGGTTTTCAAAACGGCCTGAGATAGCCAAGCATGGCTCAAGATAGCCTCCGACAGACCTCCAAGAGGCCTCAAGGCAGCCTCAAGATGGCCCAAGATAATTAGCCGAGCATGGCTCAAGATAGCCTCCGACAGCCTCTAGCCGAGCATGGCTCAAGATAGCCTCCAAGAGGCCTCAAGAAAACTGGCAATCAATTATGGATGGGCTGGTGGGGATACGCGAATAGTCAAGAGTTTATCACGGGGGAGACGCGTCCCGAGGGAAACGGGTCCTGGACCCTAGGGCCTCCCCCAGAACGAGAACTTTCTCCTGAGACGTTTTCTGACAGTCCCGGGTCCCGTGGAGGGTCCCAGGAGCCCGGGAACGGCGAAAAAACCTCCGGACTTGTTTCCCCCAGGACCCGCTTACCCCCATGGTGAAGAGCGGGGCCGCGCGGGCGTCGGCTGCAGGCCTCCCGCAGGAGCTG